TCGATTGTATGTGCATATTGGTGGCAACGAAAAATGCGCAAAACTTCATTTTGGCTTCGTCTTGCTCATTATCAACGTCGTATAATCCTTGCCATTTTAATTTATCCGTTAATGACTTTCTATATTCTTATATTTATATTCATTATATCTGTTTATTTTGTGTTGATGGAACGACGTCGCATTGATTTAACTCATTATCTCTTATATGCGTGTTTCAAGTTCATGGTGGCCACGATTGCTCATATTAATCTATATACACTATCAAAGTGGAATTCAGTCTACTGGCGTAAGAATCTCGTTTTAACAGAAGATGAGAAACAAGAAGTAGGATCTCAAAAGCATATTCGATTTCCCATGCATCGTGACATTAATAAATGTTTGTCTTCGAATTCGATAATATCGAACGTTCATCCGGCTTCTCCAATGCTCACGAATTTGGACGAGAACTGATGTTTTTATTTTAAAATAAACTAATTACGATTTATTTGACTCATAAGAATTCAAATAAATAATTTGTTTTGAGAGATGAAATATTTTTCTCTCAACGATATATTATGAGATAATCAATTAACACTATAATCAAATGTGTTAGCTCAATTCAACACATTCATTGACTTTGAATCGACTTCAACAACAGAACAAATAGAATTAATCGAACTCAAAATGTGTTGATTTTAATTTGTTTCAGAATCATTTAAATATTCTATTCTGCGCTTTGAAATATTCGACATAGAACCGACTCAAATATCGTATTTTTCACACTAATTTACGTTGTGAGAATCCTGTTATCAGCGCTATTATCATAAACTAGCCGTATTTTTCTTTTATAGTGAGCTTGTGACGTGATGTCATGTTTATCTGGCTTATGCAGTAGTCGAATCACTTATAAAATGCTCTTAATCGTAGTGCATACGGTATAGATGAGGAAAAAAGAATGGGATCAAAAAACGAAGTTCGCATTAGGGAGGTTATAGTATAACAAAGGGGTCCTAAAAAAAGTGTTTACTATTCAGAATAAGGAGGTGTTCATTTTGGAGAGATGTTCGCTATGAGAGGTTTTACTATATACTAAATAATCAAATCTATCAACAAAATAAAACCAGTAAATATATAGAGTTAAAGTTTTCATTTTCCACTTATGAGATGTAGAACTAATCAACTGGTGGTGTCACGATTATCTGATAGCTTTTAATGGTTTACATTGACGTAGATAGGATGTTGTATGGGAAAGCATTCAATAATTAAATATCTTTGAAATTTTAATAAATCATATGTCTTTTCTTTTGTACTACATCAGTTGCCAAAACGTATCGTGATCTATATTCAGTATGGAAAACTCGTAATGAGTTACTGTTGTTTTGATGGATAAATATTATTAATTTGTGGAAAAAAATGTCCATTAAAAATAAATACACTTATCGTTTGATTTCTTTTCTTTTCTAAATTTTATGAAGTAGAATATAAAAGACTCAACATTTACCTTGTCTATTTACAACAACACACATGAAAGCAGCAATGATGTAAAGTAGCAAAAGCAATTTCTTTTTATTGAAGATATAACTAAATAAATACATTTATTCTCATCTGTAATGCTATTAGAAATACTTCAGATGTTTCAATTTGATGTTACTTTTATATTTCATACTTAACAACATTCAGAAAGCACACAGATTTAAATATGCAGCAAATGAAAAATGTAAGGACAAAAGTGTTGATAGAAAAAATAATTATATTTTAAGATATTTACTTTTAAAGAAGAAATACTCAAAACGATCATTATTTTAACTGAACTATATTTTAGAGCGCGTGAATAGGGAAAAAAAGAAACAAAGCGATGTCTATTCACATTTTTCCTTCCATCTCGCGAGAAAGGAAAACGCATCACCACTCTGACTATCATCACCTAATAAAAATGATACAATTAACGTTCTTACTGATTCTGACAATCACTGCTACTAATATTGATTGTTCAATACGTATTGGGTATATTCGTAACACAATATATCGTTCCAATACCAACAGCACTCTTATGTCATACAATGACACATGCTCTGAATGTCTTTGCAGTATATTGTCTACTGGTTCGTTACTACAATATGTAGGTTTGAATTGTTATCAGAATAATAAAACGTGTCAGCTATTTGCTAACTATTCGTCGTCATCAGAAATACGGACGAATGTTAACTCAACATTTATAATTATACAGCAACCACTATTTCAAAATACAATAACATCAATAACAACACCAGTAGAAACAACTACGACAGTTGAAGAAACTATAATAGTAGAAACACAACAAGTCACAGAATCACAAACCACAACTTTACCAACAACAATCACAGCAACAGCGGAAATTACAACAGTAACAACAGCATCCGCGATTATATCCTCAACAATCATAATAGCAACTATTACAACAACAGCCACCACCACCACCACCACCACCACCACCACCACCACCACCACCACAACAACAACTAGTACTACTACTACTACTACTACTACTACGACAACAACAACAGCAGGTAATTAATAATATCGTTCGATTTCAAAATCAATCATATAATCTGATGGAAAATAAAAAACTTGAGCACGGTTTCTGTAGTGGTAAACAACAGATGGATTCGAAATCCGATTCCGTCTCTATCAGAGTTCCATTTATTGCCTTTATGATATTAGACTAAAAAAAACATTGAAGACCAAGTTATAAAATAATTAAAATTAATGTGAAGAAAAGTTCTTCTGAGTTAATTTTTGTTTCTTCGAAGTTGAAACATTCAGATTATTTTCTTTTCATTATCTACTTTTGATAAAGGTACGTAAACTGTACTCATTACGTAGCCGCATACGATAGCGTATAATCAGCTCCGTGATTTAGTTGTAAGAAACGTTTTTTTATCCGCAAACTGTCGGATACGAACCCTTACGTGGGATCTGGATAGCTTTGATAGTCACTCCATGCAGCAACTTTCATTCTCAATACACCATTGATTCTCAGAAGGACGAGGATTTAAAAGGGGAACAGTTATCTTCTCTTCATCTGAACACATTTTTGCTTTACAGTCAATATATGGAACATCTTCTCAACTACATCTTCAAAATCAGTTTATTTTCCTCAAAATCAATTAAAAGTCTTGCACCAGTGAGTATCAACGAGCATTTCCGTAATACATAGTATCTCTCTTTACAATATCCTGAGTTTATAATATCCACAAGGACATCTTACTACTAGTATATCGTAGGAAGCGTTGGATATTACATTATCCTGTAGTGTTTTATATCTATCTTTAATACTTCGATAAAGGAGGATTCCAAATTTTCAATTCACTTAGTAATTGAAAATACTCCCATAGAATGCTATGAATATACTGAATTGATTCTTTTCAGAATATCTAACAAAGATTTTGTGACAGACTGATATTAAAGTACTTTTGTGAGTATACCGTAATGGAACTAGTTGAGTACACAAACAATTTGAATCCAGCACTTTTACTGAGGTGCCACATTTCAATTAGTAAATCTGAATGCTTCAAAGACTAAGATGAAGTGATATTTTGATAGAATTTTTTATTCGTTTTGATAGCACCATTTCCGTTGAGTGGCGTTACAGTGGCTGGGTATGGAAATGGCACGGCTGGGAATGACAACAATGGTTTACAATATCCCTGGGGTGTTATACCCACCACAGACGATTTCCTGTACGTTGCTGATTTTCGTAATAATAGAGTGATGAAATTCAAAGAAGGAAACTTAACAGGAACGATGATTGCCGGCACAGGAGTGAACAGTAATGCCATGAACCAACTATATTATCCAGCAACCATAGTTCTCGATGCTGCTTCGAATCTTTACATCAATGATAATTTCAACTACAGGGTGATGCTCTGGCGTCAGAATTCAATATCTGGTGTCATGGTGGCGGGCTCTGGATTAGATGGATCATCAACAAGTCAGATTGGTTACGCAGTTGGATTGGCTGTGGATTCGCGAGGAAATATATATGTAGCTGAATATCAAAACCATCGAGTAACGAAATGGGCTCCAAATTCCACAAATTGCACAGTGATAGCTGGCACGACAGGGATAGCGGGAAGTACTAATCAGCTACTAAATCAGCCGTACGGACTGTTTCTCGATGAGAATAATTCTTATCTCTACATTGCTGATATGCTGAATAATCGAGTTCAGCGATACACTCTTGGTATTACAGCCAATGGTACCACAGTAGCTGGCGGAAATGGAGTAGGAAATAATAGTAATCAACTCAATCAGCCTTATAGTATTTATGTTTCCCAGAAAACAGGCGATATATACGTTGCCGACAAAGCAAATAATAGAATTCAATGCTGGAGTCCGGGACAAACAAGTGGAGTAACGATTACTGGAATAACCGGAGAAGTCCTAGGCAACGCGACGGGACTATCGGCACCTGGCTATGTTACTTTAAATGCAAACGAAAGCTTTATGTATGTAGCCGATAGGAACAATCACAGGGTGCAACGATACGAACTACCATAACGAATTCAATACATGGCTATTGACTGTTGGACACTAATTACACCACATATTATAGACACTATAATTTTCCTCGTTCTGAATCAACTTTTTCTTGTACAAGGATTTCAAGATATTATAATTTTATTTTCACCGTGTGACTAAATGTATCTACACGATATGTGTTAATCATTTTTGGCACCTTAGCTTCTCACTACACACTTCGCTATAAACTATTTTCAAAATTTTTTCTTGTTCACTAATAAACTCTATATTGCATTTGAGACTGAACATTTATGTGAAATGTGGTATGCTGTACTTCTTCATAAAACGTTTCTCGTCAATGTTGATTTGGAAATAAATTTCACCAATTTCATAATTATCGAATGAGTTAATTTTCCACAAAAGAATATAAGTTCTGTATAGTTAGTCTTGCCCATGCATGGACAGGTAAGTATAGGTGTTGAAAGACTATCTCCCAACAAACACCTATACTTATACACATCTAATGTTTTGTTTTCATTATTAGTTTGGGCCGATTCGATTTGATCTTTGCCCGAAAAATATCTGCTTCTTTTCTGTCTGACAAAATGTCTTTGATGAGATGAAGAATATGTAAAGACTTTTTGTAAAATTGAATGATGAAATTAAACATATGGACTAGGAAATACGTGGTAAACTACTGAGAATCACGCTAGCAAAATATTCTTTTTTTTTATCAATCTGAATCTTTAGTGACTACACCCAGGCAGACAATGAACGGTAAAAACAGCATTTAAACACGTTAAAAAGGCGTTTAGACAATTTTAACGTGTGTAAACGCGTTTTATTCTAGAATATCGAGTATTTAATTGTTTTTCACAGTTTATCTCAGCGTCGCTAGGAAATAAACGGCGAAAAACGCGTTAATTTTCGTTTTTTATATCTATTATTGTGTTTTAATAGCATCTTTCTGTTTTCACTAGAAAATATGTTAAAAGTAGAGTGTTGTACGTATGTAATGTTCTTCGTAAATATTATGTATTGGTAACTATTAGCTATCAGCTGATGGTAATTTATGATTTTTAAAAAGTTAGTGTAACTATTCTAAGCTATTTATAAGTGTCAATATACTTTTATCACTGATTATTCATTCATTTTTTACACGTGATCCGTCTATTGATACAACAACGAATGTCATTGCATGGCATCAAGCTATTGTATT